CAACCTCATCAACTGCTTTACCATCGTTCCCAAATACCCTGTGTCTTACCTAACCACTACTTACCCAGTGATCCCTGCGGATGCGAGCAATATTTCCAATACATCTGTGATCATATACTAGTAGCCTACGAGTATCCTCTACTGATAATGGCCCTTGTTTCTCAGCCAAAAAGTAGAACAGGACGAACTGCTGCGCAGTGTACTCATCGCTTATATTCTTTTTGAACAAGTTTCATAGTGTCATGCAGTATATCTATAGTCATATCCTTACCTATAGTATCCAATAACATACGGAAAATTTCTCAAATAGGAAAAAATTACTAATCATATACACACGTAAGTATATGTATCGATAAATTAAAAGATGCAAATGGGCTGTTTTTCTTTGAAACTCCAATTTTTGGAAAAATCAGAATGACTGACGTTTACAATTTAGATTTGTTTTATCCTCTTCAACAAAGTTAACCTAAAATAACAAAATGTTATCATCACTCAAATGCAAACACTTTTAAAAATAAATTTATTCAAGTGATAAATATGATAAACAAATGAAGGGAGAGAGAGAAAACCATATTTCCAAGCCAGAAAAAATTCTATTACGTATTACGTAACTCTACTTTGATTAGTGAGAATGGAATCATTGTAATTTATTTATCATCTCTCTTGGTCTTCTCACGTTTTATTGTTATCGAAGAAGGTTTTCCGTCTGACCTACTACAAAAAGAGATTGTATGCTCTTGGGATTACTCGTCGTTTACTCTTACAATTTGTCAATTTTTGCATATTACCTATTATTCCTTACTGTTTTCCATTATTCTTTCCCGGGCTTTTGTGGAAAGACTTCGCTGTATTGCGGAGAGTGTTGAAGGCAGTTAGCAAGGTGTGTGGTGAATCTTTCGAGGTCATAATTAATATGGTTATGGATAGACGTCTAAAGTCATGCAAACTCCTGGCAGGTGTTATTTTATCAGACACTAACCATCCCCTTCACTCATCTTTCTCCTTGTATATCTTCTGGTAGAACGAGACGTAATTACATTAAAATCCATGCACGCAAGCAAAAGTATAAAAGTTCTATAATACCTCACCTAGCAAATATACTCTATGACGAACAGGTTGTTTGAGTTAACCTAGTCAATAAACTGCATTCTTAACATGTCCTTAATTTCAAAAGTTGTACAGTTTTTTGGGTTTTATTTTTTAAACCTTTTTCCCCTTTTTTTGTCTTTGTTTCTGTTTTTTGTGTAAGAAAATTGTTGAAATACCCTGTGCTGAGAATTCTATATTGTACCAAAATATAATATTGAATGAAGCCATTAATAATAATAATAATAATCTATGATTCATTTGAAACAGCATCTTATACTGGCATAATACATTTATATTTCCGCTGTTATCAAATTAACATGTCTAATCTATATAGGAAATAAAATTTGATGTAGGTTACATGTTATAATTTATTTAACACAGAAAACTATTGAGATAGTGGAAAAGATTTGTAGCTTAGGTGGATAATTTTGATGGGGTTTTGTTCGCTGAGCTGAATAGTTTGGTCGTGGAGCTTTCATCATTGTTTTGAACGACATCATCAGCACAAACATCAGGTAGTCTTCTACTTGAACGATAAAAGCTCCACGACGAAACGTATTTCGTTTCTTCATAAGAGGAACAGATATAATATGTAAATAATAATAAATGTCCAAATTTCTATATGCATATATAAAATTTTAATGAGGATAATTCTATATGAAGAATATTCATTTACATAATATTTATTCAAGGATTATTATTTATAAATACAAACTAATGATCCAATAGATTATTCATATGTAAAGCAAATACATTTTATCAGAAAGGGTTTTGTGGAGATTTTTAGAAATTTCACTGGTTGAAATCACCGTTGGATACCGGCTCAGTGATTTAGTTAGTTGGCCGTCTAGTGCTTCCAGGTTTTACATGGTGGTCTAGCTTCAATTGACTCATGATTTCAACCAATGAAAATAGTTTATCGTGTTGGTTGGTATTGTTATAACTAGTTAAACTGTAATGGACGAGAACACTAGTAGAGACAACTGAATATATTTTAATATGACATTACAGAATATCTTGGTAAAATCTGAGAACCATATAGTAAATAATTCATTTGCAAACTATTTATCAATCATCTCAGACTTTGTTATTCCTTCGTTTTCATACCAATCACCCCCTGTTATCATTCTCTCCTCTTTGATTTTTTCAACATTCTGCCTCCAGATATTTCCTTTTTAGTTGGTGTATTTTATTTATTATGATACAAATTATGATATAATTCGTGTCTATATGAAACATTTAACTGCAATTTACATGATTTGACGGATCAAACGGATTAGGTAATAAATAATCACAGGAAGAATGGGCTGATTAAACTGTTTAAATGTATATTTAATAACTAGAGAAAGAATATATAAAGTAACAGACATAATATGTTCTATATATTGAAAATAGCTGTTGACTTATCATCGTTAAAGTAGATATGGTTGAACATAATATTTTAATCCTATGTTACTACTTCATCCTTCATGTAGTAAACTATAACTTTGGAAATGACTGAATGAAAGCATTTATACTAGAGATGCTCAAAATGGTCCTTACTACATCTTTGCCCAATCATGTTAGAACATAGTGAAGAGCACAGATTTGTAAATTTCTAGAACATTGACCAGTCAAGTTAGTTGTGCAGAATCAATTAAGTTTGAAATGAAATCTTGAATACTGTAATTTTACTTAAAACTTTTCAGAAGTGTTACAGAATAAAACCTTTTATTGTTAAACTATGCTAAATTATTTTTTCATAGGTAGTACAGCGTAGTTTATTGAGTTCACTACTATAAATAGAAGAAACTGTTGGTAATAGAATAACTGTTAAGTGGGATTTTAACAATTTTTAATTATTTCACCTTGTTCACTCAAATTAGCTTCTAAACATAACGGCTTTATTCATGCAAGTAGATATTTTAAGACAATCATTTCTAAATTACTCGGAAGTTAATGAGATCTATTTATTTTTTTAATTGATCACAACCAATTACGTAACACATAACCAAGTCGATATAAATTCACTATTTTACCAAAACTATGGACATTGACTCATGATCTCAACTCTTGAAATTACTACGATCTCCACAAAACCCCTTCTGATACTCATCAACATATGGTCACTAGTGACTGGCCTCTAGATGTATATCCTGGAGTTCTAGTGAGAAGCAGTGAACAGTGGAATTCAACCGGGTCGGTTGTGAGATAGGAAGTCACTCAAGAAAATGGTGGAGGTGTTGCTCAATTTTAAGAATCAGTCGAAGTTAGACATTAACAGCGTTGGATGCCGGCCGGCTCCGAGGCCTAGTGGTTAAGAGCTGTCGCGCGACACTGATAAGTCCTGAGTTCGAATGTCGCGAGCGGGATCGTGGATACGAGCTGCTGAGGAGTTCCACAATAGGACGAAAGGGCCGTCCAGTGCTTCCAGATTCTTCATGATGTTCTAGTGTCAGTTGACTTATGATCTCAACTATTGAAATTACTACAACCTCCACAAAACCCCTTCTGATACTAATTTATAAATTGTTAATTCATCTTTTATCCTGCAAATACGTTTTTCTTCATATCTGGAAAATAATTCCTATGTATTGATAGTAGTGTGAAGTGAAAAGAATTGCTGTGAAAGATGGAATCTTCAATGCGGCATCTTCTATCTAATCCTTCTGTTACTAGGAGAACACATTTAGCTATGAAATCAGCTAAGACACATAAATAATTCAAACAACCTTCAGAATTAAACTCAAGTGAAAACAAGTCTTCAAAATAAAGTGAACTGATCTAGCTATTCAGTGGACGTCTCAAATAGTATTGAACCTCCAGTGGAATGAATATAATTATCTTGTTTTTTCAGATAGTGGAGAAGATTTGTAGCTCAGGTGGATGATTTTGATGCAGTTTTGTCCTTTGAGCTGGATGGTTTAGTTGTGGGGCTTTCATCGTTCTTCTGAACGATATCATCAGCACAAACTTCAGGTAGAAGTGAAATGTTCGAATTTCTCCACATGTGGTTCACAAATTTTCCTGTACACCTCGATGTTGATTGATTCTTGTTGAACTTAAACTTGCAATTGTTTACTTCATTATTTTGATTGTATCTTTTATTTGTTTGATTTTTGTTCCTATGTTTGTGCTCAGAGAACAAAACTCCATCAATATCTTGTGTTTTACTTTTGTACAACTAATATAGGGATTATCAATCATCAGTAGAGTTCAACGTCTTTGAGAGTGAAATAGATAACACTTCTCTCATAGAATAATGGTCTTATATTATCACAGATAAATTGAAATTAAAAGTTTAAACAGTTAAACTCCAGCTTACTGGTCTAAGACCATTAGTCTACTTGGGAACTGCAGCATTACAGGCTTGGTCTCATTCAACATAATCAGTTCACAGTTCAGAGAAATACCCTAAATTACAGTGAAACAATTCAACGGTTCCTCATAAAATTCCAGTTAATCATTTCATATTTCGTTTTTACAGATAAGCGCTAACTTTTAGCCTTAGTTACACATCTCTGGTTTATTCAATAACGAACAATCATTATCATGTTTCATTGTTTAAGTTAAAAAAGATTGAATATTTGAAGAAGAAAAAAAAGATTTATCTATTGGATGGATATTATATAAAAATGATTTAAGGTATGAATATGAATATAGATAAAACAAATTCACAATATTGAATAGCTAGCCATAGAGTTTATCTCGTGATGATTTACTGTGGCTAACACATTTAACAGAAATACATTGTGTGTATGTTAAAAGAATCGTGTGTAATATAACAGTAGATGAAGCTACAATATATTAACTGTGATAAATCATATATATATATATATATATATATATATATATATATATATATATATATATATATATATATATATATATATATATATATATATATATAATGGTTCTATTTCCTCTTGTCTATCTACCTATTCAAACGTCTAGCTACCTATCCATTTATCTATCTATCTACCTTCGGCCTACCTAGTATATCTTCTGCGATTGAAAGATTGTTATCACTTTCGAAATTATTGATTTATTATTATTTAGATATGAGAAATACGGATAAATTTATTTTTCTTTTGACGTACACTTAGTTAATATAAAATGAAAGAATGAGGTGAACATAATTAAAACAGAAGGAGAGAAAAATATTCTCAAGTATGATCAATAATATGATCCATCAAACAATATTTTGAATTTTACATTACGTTTCAATGAATAATTTAACTGTTTATTTAATTCAATTAGGAGAATCATGTATTACTCAATATGTTTCTTCATTATAAAAGCGTAAATCGAGGATAAATTGTTTTATTGAACAAACCAGATGCCAGCGAAGAAAGAAATCAGGAAGAAGCGATGGAAGTGGATAGGACACACATTGAGGAAGGCACTTAATTGCGACGTAAAGCAAGCCCTAACATGAAATCCCTAAAGCCAAAGTAGGAGAGGAAGACCGAAGAACACATTACGCCGAGAAATGGAGACAGACATGAGAAGAATGAACAGCAATTGCATAGAACTAGAAAAGAAAGTCCAAGAGAGAGAGAGAGTGGGTTGACGAATGCTGGTCAGTGGCCTTTGTTCCATTAGGAGTGACAGGCGTAAGTAAGTAAGTAAGTAAATTGTTTTATTAGCAAAGCTTATGTATTTTATTCCATACACTTGTTCTAATGTGCGTATCTACATATAAATAAGAATTTTCGAGTGTAAATGATACAGAAAACAGATTTGTTACTTAAAACATTTAATTTACATTCATATTTTGTCTGTGAAAAAAAAGATTTTCCACATAATTTTTTTTTTGTTAAAAACTTAGTTACCAAGCCATTTTTTCTAACACTTGTTGTGATGTTTCCAAAAACTACATGAACTACACACAAACATACAATATACACATGTACAAATAAATTAGAACAAGTAAAATAAAAAAAGATTAGACACAAAGTGGTTAGATGAACAATAATACAAAATGGTAGATTAATTTGAATCTATTTAAGTAATATTATACCATATTCAATAAATTTCAAACAAATTATTACTTCCATATGTAATTGTGAATGTAATTAAACATTAAAAAGCATTAAATCATTTTGGGAAATAAGGATATAAGAGGAAACATGTTTTTTGTTGTTGTTGTGGTTGTTGACATAATTGGTTCATAATTTTATATTAAATTCTGTTAATTAGTGACTTGATTCTTATGAATTGAAGATTGGATATTTAAAAAAAAGAATGATGATTAGAGTTATCGTGTGATTTCATGTAGTAGTTTTAGAATTAGGCATTCATAATTTTAATTTCAATAGTTGAGATCATGAGTCCATTGAAGTTAGACCAACATGGAAAACCTGGAAGCACTGGACGGCCGTTTCGTCCTATTGTGAGACTTCTCCGTAGTTTGCATCCACGAACCCGTCTTGCGAGATTCCAACCCAGGACCCATCAGTCCTGCACACGAGCGCTTAAGCACTAGACCACTGGGCCGGTCGGCATCCAATGGTGTTAATGGCTAACTTCAACTAATCCATTAAATTGAGCGACATGTCCACCATTGTGACCAGTGGATTTCAACCGGGTCAGTTGTGAGATAGCAACTGACTGATGACAATGATCTCAACTATTGAAATTACTACAATCTTTACAAAACCTCATTCTGATACTATACATAATCTCAGCACATGATTTTAACGAAGAACTTGAAATTCTTTTGGGTTATACAATTATGAATACAAAATGTGAAAATGACATTTCACTAATCCCACTGTAAAATTTCCCTTGTCTGTTAATATTTGTCATAAATGTTTGAGAAACAAATTTCAAATTAACGTACAAAAATTTTGTGTTGTGTGCTACTGATGTCGACAGATATAAGTAGCATGTATCATCAATCGAAAGTGAAGTGCCTTAAGGCAGAAGGTTGAAGAAGATCAGAGAGAAGAGAACGAGAACAAAGAGTGATTGGTAAGAAAATGAAGGAACAATGAAGTATGAGAAACTCGATGGACATTTTGCAAATGAACTATTTACTGTTTGGTTCTCAGATTTCACTAAGAGATTCTGTAATTTTGAATACAAACACGTGCGATTGTTTCCATTTGTGTTCTCATTCACTACACTTTTATCCAACTAAACACAAGTTACATAAAAAGTTTTGCTAATTAAATGTAGATTCTGACAAGAATCATTAATATATTGATTAAAGTCTATAGCATCCAAATATTGGATTCATAGAAAACTTATTTATGTCAAAGGTATAGCTGAAAGTCGAGTTTATGAACATCTATTTAGCTACTGCCATCTAATAAAACAGCATATTTGATAAAAGATTTTTTCCCAGTGGATTCAAAATGTAATATCTTTTGCTGTTAATTTCATTATCATCAAACATGGTTAGAAATGAACGAGAAGGTTAACACTGAAATCACTCAATAGGTTATATAAATCAGAATGTTGGAAATATGATATTAATTGTGTTTCTTTTTACAGTCACACATCATACCTGAAGTGTCACGTTTTACTTTGTCAAGTTCAATACAAACTCATTCACTCATTATAGACGGAAGAACAAGTAAAGTTTGATGTTCGGTGTCTATAATTCTCTGAATAAGAAATAATCAGCAACAAATGATAAATATGACCCAGGATAAACAAGAACTTAACAAGCGTTTATATAGTTACATATATAATAAATGACACATTAATTATTATAAGAATGGGAGTTTGTGGAGATTGTAGTAAGGTGAATATTTGAGTTCATGAGTCTACTTAAGCTTGATCATCCGTGAAAACCTGGGAGCACCAGACGCCATTTCTTCCTAGTATGGGACTCCTCAGTAGTACGCACCCACAATCCCGATCCGTAGGATTCGAACCCAGGACCTTCGATCTCGCGCGCGAATGCTCAACTTTTAGACCACTGAGTTGGCATCGAACTTTGTTAATGTCTAATTTTGGTCAATCCATGATATCGAGCAACTATTCATCCATTGTCTGAGGTAGATATCTGGCTCCAACTGGCATGGATCAGATTCTAGTGGTCACGGCTTCAAGTGCTTCCAAGTTTTTGATGGTTGTCAAGCTTACATAGACTCATCAATTCAACTATTTAAAAAAATTAATTATAGTTTTTTTATTGTTTTTACCCCTAAACATATCCAGAATAATAATCCTGGTATTATTATTATTATTACTTAGTTTTATTATGATAACTCAATAATCCTACCAGCAAACTATGAGGTAATACAAGTAGGTATACGATAGAAAATATGACAACAACAAAAAAACATTTATATGCATTAATAATTCAACGAATTGGTTGCATGTTGAATTTATTTCAATTATACGGCTACTAGCATTCAATAACATACATACATACGTAGTCGACATCTTTAAAAAATGTAGTTTTGTGTGCATGTTTACTCAGAACTATGGTAACACCAATAATAATAACAATAAACATAACAATTAATAACTTTTTTAAAATGATGAGTAATTTTTTTTCTTCTAAATACTTGATACAATGAATAACCAAATGAAAAAACATTAGATTATCTTGTTGTTGTGGTCATTGAAGAAAGACAAAACTAAACAAAACTCATTTGAGGCTAGAAAAATTAATTTACTGCTAGGTTTCTCTTTTTTCTTATTTTTTATTTTTAGGATGTTGTTGGGGAAATTAGATCCCCAAAACTCACAGTTTGCAATTTTATCTTTGTGGAGCTTGTATGCAGATGTATGCTTGGGCATTTCTTACCAACCACTCATATAGTCGATTGACAAACTTATCGATTAAATGTTTAAAAACTTCTATGGCAATATCGATTATATATATTTTGTATAAATACGCTTGATTTGTGTGCTTGATGGAAATGGTATCTTCTGGTTGTCTGTAGAATACACTTTCTACATCTAACCAAGACTTCTGGGTCGAGTTAGCTGAGTCGGGGACAACGGACCAGTATAGCCTATCGAGTCTCTGAATCCTTGATTCTTCGTTCCGTTCCGAGTAAGACGAATCAGTATTAGCATTCAAGTTAACGAACATAACAGATGTATCACATATTTGTTATTTCATTAGCTCTAATATTGAATATTCATCAATAATTCAAATAAGCACAAATTGATGCTTGAATGAACATATTAACTATGCATATAAGTGTAACCTAGGAGGTGGTAGGCCATTTTACAAAAGTTTTTGTTTTAGTTATTATTATTTAAAATGAATCGCCTGTTTTAACAAATTAGAATATTTGTTTATATAAATCTTAATTGTTTTGAAGTATTTGAAATAGGTCCTGGGTTTGAATCCCGCGGGATGGAGTCATGGATGCGCACTGCTGAGGAGTCCCATACTGGGACGAGACGGCCGTCCAGTACTTACAGGTTTTCCATGGTGGTCTAGCTTCAATTGACTCATGATTTCAATCAGTGTATTTAAAACAGATGAGGAATATCAGAATAGAGAATTAGAAACGTTTAAATATCTAGGCCATTCAAATTTAAACAATTCATCTATTTCAGGAATTTAATATTACTTGTTCAGTTTTATATAGATCATTCAAAAAGAATTCAACAACATTACCTGGCATGTCTAAGAAATGGCGCAATAAGAAGTTCAATAATCAAACACCTTGTGAAAACAGGTCACTCAATCAAGACGGACTCTGAGTTTTAAGTCATCTACAAGGTAAGTGGAAGTCTTCCAAAGGCAGTTATATTGCATCTTCTTAATATTGCCGAAGCAATAACCATACATATGGGAGGACCTGTATTATGTATGTAAAAGAGATTGGTACAACCTCTTCTTCTATCATGGTTTTAATGTCTATAGCATTTTTTCTTCATATTCTTCTTCCTTTACAGCCATCTAATTCCTCTTCTATCTCCTCTTTAAACCTTCTACCCCTAACTTGTTTATTTCTGTTTCTCTGATCATTTTGATTACATTTCATCTCAATTTCAACATTTTATCTTATCATGCTAAGCCATCCTTTCCCCATGATAATTTCCTTATCTATCGTTATGATGAGAATCCAAACCCTTAACAATAAAACGACCATTAGTTTTCTCGTTCAAAAAGATTTTTTAATACCTTTCTTTATTCTACCACATCGTTACCATGCTTAACAGAAGTTTACTATCACTACTATTTTAATTATTATTATTCAGAAAAATACGTTTATATATTTGTGATTGTACAGCTTTGAAAATGAATTTGCCGAGAAGGGAACTCTTTGGTGGATCAATCTTATTTTATGTGAAATATTGAAATATTTATAGCATGTTTAGAAACACCTTGTACTAAAATTTATGTCAGTTAGATTTTAAGAAATGTTAGTCTGATTCTTTTTATTAATACTGATAAGGCAATGTGATTATTAACAGAGATCAAGATTATATTTTATACACCTACTTAGTCAGGAAGGGTACTTAGCTACACTTTATGTAATTTTATAGCTATAGACTATCCACAAAATCGGTTTATAGCCTCAATCTCGGATCATCTAAAGATTGTGTAATAGCACTTAAATTACATTTCATCAGAGTATACAACATTTATAGCTGAACTTAAAATAACCTAAAACATTACAAAGAACAATGATTCTTCGCAAAACTGACTTTGCACCAACCTTCGAAAGAAATACCCACACACTGGATATACATTAGGGTATAATAAAGTAACCATACTTCCCTCCTCCATAATATTAATTGTATTTTAAAACCCGGTACCTTAATAAAACATTTTTTTACAAACTCAAAACAGAAGTTCATACAAACTTTGCTACGATTAGATAAATGTTTGTTTGTTTCCATATGGAAGATTTCCTACGTTGAGATTTAGATAATCCAATGACTCTAAATATGAAAGCACGTTAATCAAACTCTGATTCTCTCATATCGACGACCATCTAAAACCATTCACGTTTTGAATAATACTACCCAGTTAAATTTAAGTTAAGAAAAACATCTTGTAATTACTATATGATTTATAGCACATTTTAAAACGAGCTAGTAGTCTAGTTCTCAATCAAATGAATAGTTTAGCATAATAAAAGTTGGTAAACATTAAATGAGGGTATATCATCTTTCATTCTCTCGAGAAATGAAACTGAATTTCAAAAGCCTAGTTTTAATAAGAAAAATGTCATCATACTGAATCACATTAATATCAAATATAGCATGATTTTCAATGTAACTTGTGTGTTATAAACAGTAAAATAAACTTTAGTATAATACAAATTTTATTGCTGAGACTAGAATTTGTGGATGACCTTTGAGCGACGCTCGACGAACCTTGACAGTGTCCACTTAATAACCAGGACCATATGAGGGTTACAAATCGGTGTGATGAATTAGAATTATAATTTACAGTTTTCATCATGAAGTGATATCAGCTATAATGTCAAAAATCTATTTATCCAAATGGATGAGTGAATTTCGCGCCAAAATCCGGGAACTATAATCTTATACGTGATTAGTCGGTCTATAAATTATAGTCTCGCCATTTTATGAAAAGTAATCTAATCAAAATCTATGGTAATTAACCTTGATGAAAATATACGAGGACAAATTTATACTTTGAGCAAAATAATCTCAGCCTGTCAGTCAGTCAGCTAGAACTTACGACCAGGCACATATATAAATCGTTCCAAGTTGCCACACCTCATCAACACAACAAGATGAACACGAAATTCATAGAAGTAGTTAATTTAATGGTAGTATTATATAAAAGAAAGATTGTGTATAAAGATATAATACACGAGGAAAGAATTAGTTCGGAAAAATAAAGATATAGAGCAAAGTAGTCTGAATAATAACAATTGGTTTATATTACTATTTGTTAATTTATTATCACGTAGCCAATTCGATCAAAAGTCACAATCACTATTAAGCAAATATAAACATAAAGTTATCAATGAAATATTCGCCAGTATTATACTTACCTGTCTTAATAATTCAGTTTGAGAAAAATCCTCCATTCTAGCAGCTTCTAATACCCATACTTTAGCTCCACGCCATCTGTTGCCTATATCCGTTGTCAATGTCATTGTATTCATCACTGATGGCAGAATTAATCTACTACCAATATTTCCATTATAATTACTAAATGAATTCATTGTAATAAAATGATTATTATGTACTGCTGAAGTAAACTCCACAGTAGCATCAGTTTCAATACTTAAAATAAATGATAATCCAACACTGATAGTGAACAGAAAAGTATAAAATACCCGAAAACATAAATAGATCATAATACAAACTTTTTGAGGACATGTTAAACGAGCTAATTGAGATTGTGAACTTGTCCTATGATAATTATTTAATAAAGTTGTAGAATAAGCTGAAAATGATGAATAACGTTTCTGTTGTATTTCATTATTTGAGCTATAACTTGTTGAACTAGGAATTATATTGTTTGTATGGAATTTATTAGATCCTTGACATATTTTTAAAATGGTATATATAGTTAAAAGTATAATATAAGAAAGACCAATAATTAAACATGTAATCACAAATGGTAAATGCATTTTATCAGCACTTAATGAGTCTATATGATTTGGTAAAGATTCTTTTAACATAATCGTATTACTCTGATAAGTATTTATGGATTTTGACAATGGAATATTGTTTTGTGCATTCAGTAATGTACTTAATAAATAATCAGTAAAACAATCTTTAATATGAATTATTAATAATACTGATTGAAATAAATGAGTAGATACAATTGGAAATTGAATATATTCAATATTCAATTGAATTTGAAATGATATTTCTTTCTTTTTATTAGAATAGTTTGTAATGAAATCAAATTGATCATTTAATAGAATTAAATCTTTTTCATATAAAATATGTTGTGGATCAATTGGGATCAAACTATTAGTTTTCTTTAAATTTGATAATGATTTCAATGATTCAGTATATAATTTCAAATGAATATATGTTGATTTATGTGTAGTAGTTGAGCCTTGACAACAACAAGAACAACAATAACAAAAATAATTAAAGTTATTTAGTATATGATCATAGAGATAATAATTGTTTAAATAATTCTTAATGATTATTCACATTACAGATTACAATTATCCTCATACTGTTTTCCTATTGGTTGGATGAATAAGCCCTTCAATTACTACAATTTCATTGGTCAATACATATATATAAATAAGAAATTGGAAATTTTGTCTGTATTCTGAATGGTTACTCGTTATGGATTATATATATTATAATGTTATGTCTCATCTTTTTAGCAGATATCATATTTACCATCATAGTTGTAATATTTTTTTTATGATCTTGATCTTTTTCTTTAAATCAAATCTCTCTATCTGTGGGAGCACGACACACACACACATACACACATAGACTGTGGTATTTTATTTTCTATAGAAATCTTTTAATGATTATTAAAAGTTCTAATATAGAACCACTTCTGTCCATCCCACCTTAGTAATAAAATTATTTAATCTATGCATATGACTAAGAAACAGGAAAACAAGAAAATTGGAGAATAGAAATTTTCATTAACATATCTTTTTTATGAAATTTTTTTTGTCAGATGGAATGACTGTGGAAAATAAAAAGAAACAAACTATGATAACGGTTTGTACAAATTGATTATCGATTACAGAACAATTTTTTCTTTATTCCTTTTTTGTTAATATCATACCTGAACAGTACTTTCTTGTGTTCATTATTAGAAAGTATAGCTTTAAGTAGTAGTAGCTTTAAGTATTAAAGAATTAGAAACGTAGAAAAATAAAATAAAAATGTTTAAGTTAAACAGCGCTCCGGAAAATGTATACCAAATAAATGACATTAATGTTGGAATAAAATTAAGGGAAATGAATAAATAAATGAAATGTATGAATTGCATGATGAGATTAAGATCACCATTTATGGAATAGTGAAATTGAACGATTAGGATTAAGCTTACACTGTGATGACTTAGTAAAGAATTACAGTAATCGGATCTAGAATTTAAGCTGTATGATGGACTAGTCGAAGTTCTGGTTATTAATAATTTTTTTATTAATATTTAGGGTAGGTAGCTTCTAATTCCTTGTTTGTAATTCCGGTTACACCAAACTTACTTTTACCTAGATAGCCAGATAGGTTAATTGTCACTAACGTAAAGACAATGTGATTCAAAGCCGAGTTTAGTAACAGGTACTCAAGTGAACCACAAAGATGAAGCTTTCTGTAATAGATATTGTTCACTTAATATATATTTTAGATATAAAATATTAAGTTGTCACAATACAGCTCTAAATATCTTAAATAAATTCATTTTGTCATCAATTTCTAATTGGAGATATCAAGTTAATATCGATCACCATTACTTCACAGTACATTATGGAAATGTTGACTATTTAGTATGGAAGTAGATTTTAACAGATCGTATGGTAATATTCAAATATCACTATCTTCCGTTAAGGCTAATAAATTATACAAACAAAACTTCTCTATCTTTATGTTTCGCAATGCTACAAAGTGAATTTGATAACTTTGCAGATTATAGATTAGTTTAATGTAGGCATGAACAAATTTTATCTAGGTAATCATTAAAAATGAAAGACCAATATTTAGAAATGACTTTACTTCGACAGTATAATGATTGCTCAGAAGGTATGATCTCCACATGATGTCAAAATTTTCATTTTGTTATTCTTGTAAGATCTTCAGTACATGGGAATAGGATGAAACTATTATCTTGTTCTCCTTGTTTACCAGTGGTTGTCAAGCTAAAGCTTATTTGTGATATAAATTTTACTTCATTAAGAATGGAACTTAGAAATGTTTGATTTAAGAAATAGTTCCTAGTGTATATAACAAAGAATGATATGCAATTTATGGGGGAGAAAATGAGTAATTTAACATAACAGTTTCATAAGTCGGAAATAAAAAGAACACGACTTCAAAGCAATTTTATTTTACACCTAAAGACATTTAATATACAGGCAACGATATTTATATAGTATTGAACTTCCACTTTGGTTGGTTTGTTCATTAAAACGTATGTGGATTATTTGTCAAACGGAATTACTCGATAAGATATTTACATATTTGGAGTGTTGACTGGTAAGAAGGTTATATGCTTCACATTGTGTCTACCTATTAGGTTGTTCTCAGTCTCATTGTATGGATTTTCCTGGTATCAGGCCGTAGGTTTGTGTTGTCGTGTATGTGTATCCTTCATAAGAGTCTCGAACTCATATAAAATGAATATTAAGTTTTCTATGAGTAAAGATAGTTTTCAGTTGATGTTATTTCGTTATGAAAAATATATTCAAATTCAATATAAAATGAGATAAGTTAGTATTTTAACCAAAAGTCCTATAGTTAACTCTAACCTACACATTGGATTAAACTAAATCATTAACTAATCAATAATAGCATATGTAATAAATAAATTCATGAGTCATTTGAAGCTAGAACACTATGGGAAACCTAGAAGTACTGGACGATCATTTCGTCCTAGTATGGGATTCCTCAGCAATGTACATCTACGATCCTGTCCCGCGAGATTCAAACTCAGGACCTAACAATCTCGCACACGAGCGCTTAAACTTTAGATCACTGAGATAGTCGGCATCTAACAATGTTAATGTCTAACTTCAACCAGTCCACAAAACCCCTCTCTAATAATAAAACATAATATGAAAAAAAGAAATTGTAATAGTTTTAGAATGTCTAGTCTTTTCTATTAATGAACTGCTTTCTTAAACAGTAGTGAAAAGCTGGAATCTATCCATTTATATAAATGTTCTTTATAACATGTTAACGGTAAAATTCTCTGTCAGATGATGAAAAAAATAAACAAACAAAACTAAGTCGAATAATTTGTCAATATTTTCCAATTATTTCACAATTGATTTACATTACCCTAGATTATAGTTACTTATTTATATTTTCTAATGTCAAAAGACACTGGCAACTATAAAAATTTATTGACAAAACAATAAATTCAATCATGTTTAAAAAATTATTTTCAGAATCAATAAAAATGTTATCGTCAATAAATGTGAATGAAGAAACATGCGACAAAATCAGAAAATCTGGAAGCATTGGACAGCTGTTTCGTCCTACTTTGGGACTCCTCATCGGTGCGCATCCACGATCCCGCCCACGGGATTCAAACCAAAGCCTTCAGTCACCCACGCAAACGCTTGTGGTGGCCGGTATTCGATATAATCCTTAAACTTCATACACAGTTCGTCTTGATAACCGTCCTATATAACGCCCAAACAGTATGTTAATCAGAAGGCGAATACGAAGCGTTGATTACGTTTATTACGGGACCACACACAGATATCCAAAATTACAGATGCGGTAAACAAGCATAGAAGAGTTGTGCCGAAAGGTAAGCAAACGAGCGAGTGAGTCAGCGAATATGAATACGAGCAAGCGCGTACAATTAAGCGAGCGAGAGCGAGAGCAGTGAATATGAATAACATGGACATATATATACATAGTGAAATGAATGAATCATCAAATCAATTAAGCGGTTAGTTGTAAGGCTAATAGCGTGAATAAATGCGTGGGCAGTAAGCAATGCTAAAGCATACATGTTCATACATTAGCAACAATAATAAAGATACAATGATATAGATAAGTTGTTGTACGGATCACTCAGTTCGTTGTTAAGTTAACAAAATGAATTAATCGAATTATTTGTGAACAAACTAAATTTCACGTGAGCTGTTATACGCTTAACCTACTAGATCACTGAGTCGAAATCGAACAGTGTTAATGTTCAACCTCAAACAATCAGCGAAATTGCCCGACCATCTTTCATTGTACTAAGTAGATACCTGTTACTACCCAAAGTGGATTAGCTTTGCTGGTTGTGGCTTCTCACTAAAACTCCGAGAATCCTCTCACGAAGCTAGTCACTAGTGAGTGGGTGAGCACTGATGAGGAGTCTCACAATAGGACGAAACACTCTTTCAGTGTTTCCAGGTTTTCAATTGTGGCCTAAAATCAATCGGTTCATGATCTTAATCAAAAACTTAATAATTTCCACAACCCTATACTGATAAAATCAGAAAAATAGGAAATTGATTACAATAAAATAGTTAATTGAAATCTATGCACAAACTGTTAGGCTCTCTCAAAAAATTACTTAGGGAATAAACATCAACTACATTAGTAGAACTGACCAAATGAATTTCAATTTTATGTATATTTTCAAAATGCGTACGGTGAAATGCATAGTTTGTTCAGATTTAAGATTCCATAATTAATTCTCAACCTCTTTTCTCGTTAATCATTGATATTCGATATTGGGAGGTTTGTGTTAGAAGACAAATTGAGGAAACATCTGTGTTTACTAATGAATTTGTACTATCTCTAAAGTTATTTATCTTAAAATGACAATAATTAGTCTGTATTTTAGTTTTTATAATGATGAAATAGTTATGTTGTGTTATAGTTTTGTCCATAGTTATTGTACGGATATATTATTATGATAATAAAACTGACAATATACATGATCTTAGTCCTTACAAAGATATAAATCAGTGGAGAAAATCGATGCTTAATTTCATAGATCGACTGATTTTTTTTAAATTTTTAACTTGTTCATGAAGAATTTCTATTACTTTTCCTAGAGAGTTTTCAGTGAAACTGATTTCATAATTCATTCAAACATATTTTTGTACAGCAGAAGGTAAATTATCCATAACGAGAGAAAACTAGAAAAATCATGAAATGCTAATTAGTTTTTCTATTGCATAGATAAATAACGTTTCATATCACTAATTATTCCGTTATTAACACATACACAAGGGAAAAAGAAATATCCTAAAATATAGAACAAAGTGCACTAACAAAATCAGGCTTGATGGAGAAGTTCTGAAAGATGTAGAATCTTTCACTTAACTGGGAAGCATCATCGATCAACAACGAGGATCCGATGCAGACGTAAAGGTAAGGATTGAAAAAGCAAGGGTCGCATTCCTACAGTTAAAGAACACATGAAACTCAAAACAACTTTCAACCAATATTAAAGTCACAATCTTCAATACGAACGTCAAGGCAGTTCTACTGTATG